GGGCCGTGCCCTCCCAGGTGCCAGGACCCACACCTCAAACAAACGAGGGCACCGCGTTTGGCGGGAGGAGGGAGAGGGAGGGCCCGGCCCCTCGCCGCTCTGCACCTGGGCCGAGGGGGTTAAAGAGCATCAGCAGGCGCCCCTTCCCCGGAGAGAGCACAGATGCCACGCCGGCCTCTGCCCGGCTCCCGGCCCGTCTGCGGGCGCGGGAAGGAGCGGGCAGATGGCAGGAGGCAGGCGAGGCCAGAGGAAGTTGCCCGTGCCCCGCTAGGCTTCCTAGCAACTGGGCCAGCCCGTGCCAAGAAAGCCAGCCGCTCCAAGGAGAGATGCCGCAGGGGACCTGGAGCCCAGCGGCCGGCGGGGGAGGGGAGGCCTCCAGACACCCCCTGGCAGAGCAGGCAGGCCTTCGGACCCCCACACGGCCGGCCAGCCTCCCCGGGACCTCCGTCTTCCCTGCAGCACCCGCCCAGCCACCTGGCCCGCTCACCGCAGCCACCTGGCCGCTCGGAACGCCTTTCAAGACCACCTTGCCAACGCCAGGGCCTCCGACAGCATTCTGGCCCATCCTTCTCGGGGTACGGGGTACGTTCCTGCTTCTCCATAGCAGCAAAAGCTCCGTGCACACCCCCTCGCCCCCCGATGCAGATGGGCCAGCCAGGCAGCAGCCCAAGCTGAGAAAGGGGGGGGGGACACAGCCCAGCTAGGGTCCCCGAGGCCCAAGGCACGCCCTTCCTGAGCCTGGAGGGCTCCTGGTCCCCTCCCTTTTTTTTTCCTTTTTTTTTTTTTTATATTTTATTGATTTTTTACAGAGAGGAAGAGAGAGGAATAGAGAGTTAGAAACATCGATGAGAGAGAATCATCCATCATCTGCCTCTCGCATGCCCCCTCCTGGGGATGTGCCCGCAACCAATGTACATGCCCTTGATGGGAATCGAACCGGGGACCTTTCAGTCCGAAGGCCGACACTCTATCCACTGAGCCACACCGGTTTCGGCTCCTGGTCCCTTCTTTACAAACAGCCCCTGCGGTCCAGCCAGCGTGGCTGAATGTCACCCCCTGAACCAGGAGGTCTCCGGTTTGGTTCCCAGTCAGGGCACAGGCCCAGGTTGTGGGCTCCCTCCCTGTGCCCAGCAGGGGGCGTGCAAGAGGCAGCTGAGCCAGGATGCCTCTCTCTCATCCATGTTTCTCTCTCTCTGGAATCGATAAAAACGTATTTTACAGATGAAGGCATATATGCAGCAGCCTGTCTTACACCAGGATCACACATCTGTCATCTGAGGGGAAAGCACCCAGCCTCGTCCCTGCCCCGTGTTCCTCCTTAAACGTCAGGAGCGCTTCCCGTCCTGGTGCCGCTCAGAAACTGCCCGGTTCCGCCGTCCCCGCGCACAGAGCGCCTCACGCTCTCCCCAGGATTTCAAATTAAATGTGCCTGTCGCTCCCGAAGCCTCCAGGAACGCGGGGACGATTATTTTTAACTTTTTACTGTTGTATCTCAATTACCTCCACTTAGGAGACAGCCGATCTATTAAGTTCTCAGGATAGGACCCAGTGGGGATCAATTTTAAAATTAAAAAGATTTTTAAGAGTCCGCTCTTCGAAGTTCCATCATCATTTCAAATTTCGCTGAAAAACAATTTGAATGTTAACACTCCTCTGGAGAGATTTCCAGGGAGCCTCCGGAAAGAGGGAGAGAGCGTGACGCGGTACTGGCCCCGGACACACGCCGAGCGGGGCCTGCGGCTCCCACCCCGACGCCCCACAGAGCCGGGGTGCGGGCACGATAAACGGGGCTCCCCATGTTCTCCAAGCCCCTCCCTCCATGGGAACCAGCAAGCCCCCGAGTGGTTCGCACCCCCAGCGCTTCACCCCTGCTGTCCCCGTGTCCTGAACACACGTGGCCCCTCCATCTCCACATGGCCACTCCCTCCCTTCCAGCCAGCACTCCGCTCAGTGTCAGGTCCTCAGCAGGCCTGTTTCCCCCAGTGCTCCCTGCCCTCTGACCAGGCTTTCCTTTTCTCCATGGCATTCATTGCCATCTGGTACACCACACCAGAGCACACACACGCATGCACACACACACACACATGGGCACACATACACAGAGTCATGCACACACACAGAGGCATGCACACACACACAGGCATACACATACGTGCACATAAGCATGCACACAAAGAGGCATGCACATACCCAGACATGCACACACACAGAGGCATGTACACACACACACAGAGGCATGCACACACAGGCATGCACACACAGACACGCATGCACAAGCACATTTAAAAAATAAACCTTCCTTTTTAGAGCAGTTTTAAATTTTTAGAAAAACCATAAAGATGGCACCCGTGTAAGAGAGTTCCCACATAGCCAATTTCCCTATTACTAACGCCTTACATTGACGTGTATTGATACACTACTAATTACTTTATTCGATCACCTCAGCTTTTATCTAACGCCCTGTTCCTGGCCCAGCACACACGTCACGGAGTCACCGCGGAGGAGCGATGCTCACCTGCCTTTAGGGCATTCCCTCATCCCAGGTCGGAAGGCGGGCTCCCCTGAGACAGGGGCCTTTGCCCGTCCGCGCCCGCCCCCTTCACCCAGCAACTGGAGGGTGCTTGCCACGTCATAGGTGTTCAGTGAACAGCTGCAGAATGAGTGGATTTGCTAAATGCCTTTTCTAATCCTTTTCACCGTGAGGTTTCACCGAGCCCGGCCCTTCCCACGTGCATGTAACGTGGGAAGCCCGGAGTAACGGCCAATGCGGCCTCCATCACCATTGGCGGCAGTGCCGAATGGAGAAGCACGACTGTTTCCAAGGTCGGGGCTGCAGGCCCCAGAGAACGCCCACCTGCGCCGCGTGAGGACAGCTGGGGCGAGAGGGGCCCCGAGTGTGGCTGGAGCCCCCCAAGCTCATTCCGGGGCAGCCCGTGCAGCCCATCTGCCCCCTGGCCGGCTGGGAAACTGAAAACCGTCTGCGGTGCTGGGCCCGCCTCCGGCTCCCTGAGCTCCCACCGGGAGGGGTGGGGCCTCAGGGCCTCAGGGAGGCCAGGCCCGCCCCGCCTCGGAGGGAGGACCTCACCTGGCCGCGCGGCGGCCCAGCTGCACCGCCCCTTCCCTCCCGCCCTCCACGCTCACCTGGCTCGCGCCGGCGGCCCCGCCCACCGACACCACGCCCACCTGACGCCCTCCCGGAGGCCCCGCCCACCTGGCAACCCGCTCCAGAGGCCCCGCCCACCGACACCACGCCCACCTGACGCCCTCCCGGAGCCCCGCCCACCTGACAACCCGCTCCAGAGGCCCCGCCCACATTAGCCCCCCCGCCTGACTCCCCGCCCCGGGGCCCGCCCACCCGACGCCCCTCCCACCTGACGCACCGCCCCAGAGGGCTCGCCCGGAGGCCACGCCCCCATAGGCCCGCCCACCCGACGCACCGCACCACCGGCGGCCCGCAGCGCCCCCTGTGGGCGGGCAGCGCAGGCCCGCGCACCTCTCCGCTCACCATTTAGTTCCTCTTCTTGTTCCTTTTATTATACCTTTCCCTGCGCTTCCCCGGCACTCCTCTCCCGCCCCTTCTCTCCTTCATGTTTTCAATCAGACACTCATTCTTTCATTCATTCTTTTAAAAAATATATATTTTATTAATTTAAAAAAGTATATATTTTATTGTTTTTTTAAGAGAGAGGAAAGGATAGGGATAGAGAGTTAAAAACATCGATGAGAGAGAATCATCGACCAGCTGCCTCCTGCACACCCTCACTGGGGATGTGCCCGCAACCGAGGTACATGCCCTTGACCGGAATAGAACCTGGGACCCTTCAGTCTGCAGGCAGATGCTCTATCCACTGAGCCAAACCAATTTCGGCTGGCTATCCTCCTTTATCTCATTGTATCCTATTACCCTCACCTCCCTTGTAGAACTACTACCCTTATTTGAAACTAATTACTTGGTTGCTGTATTTATGGCCTGGTGTAATCCCCTCACTTTGAGGACAGGGATCTTGTCTGCCTCCCTCATATCCCTGATCCAGTGCTTGGCAGCATCACGCAGTCAGTAGTTCTAGAATGAATGAGTGTCCACGAGGAAATGAACAGGAGAGCATTTTAATATATATAAATATATATATACTATTTATTTCAGAGGGGAGGGAGAGAGATAGAAATATCAATGATGAGAGAGAATCATTGATCGGTGGCCTCCTGCACGCCCCACACTGAGGATAGAGCCTGCAGCCTGGGCATCCCTTGGCTGGTGATGAACAGGGAACTCCTGATTCATAGGTCACCACTCAAACTTGGAGCCACACCCCATTGGGCCACACCCACCAGCAGGAGCGCATTTAAATCAAACATAAATGTCGTCGATGTCATACAGATTTTTTTTTTTAGAGTTTTAGGTATTGGGGTGCTTTGCCTCCTTTATGATTTATGAAAGTGATTGTGAGAAAGAAGTAATCAAGGGAGAAATGCTTGCTTAAGGAGTTGGATATCTAGGGACGAGGTGCTATACCCAGTATTTGGGGTTCTAGCTAGTTCTGTACCTATTTCCCCACGCGCCCTAGAATGTCTGAGGCCCTCGTCAGCGACCGGAACCCTGCCTGGGAGGTAGTGGGCGCTCCATAAATATTTCAGGAATTCCCGAAGCAAGCTGGAAAGGAAGAGCCAATTGAACCGGCTGGGTCAGGCTGCAGTTCCTCCCCGGGGCAAGAGGCGGCGCTGGCGTCACAGCCGCCCGGCCGCCGGCCGTGCTTGGCCCCTCCGGCTGACCGTCCATCGCAGGGCCCCGCGGCCGGGGCGGAGCTAGCCAATAGGAAGCCGCCTTAGTTGTGAGGTGGGACGGAGGGGCCCTATGAGCGCGGCGGGTATAGGCGAGGGGCGGGGCGGCGAGGCGGGGCCGAGGAGAGCGGTTGGAGGAGGGAGTCGGCGCTGCGGGCCGGGCGGGGCGCGGGGCTGCGATGCGGGCGGGAGCGCGTCCGTGACCGGAGCTGCCGGCCGACATGAACTCGCTGGAGCAGGCGGAAGGTGCGGGCCGCCGGCGGGCTGCGGAGGGGCTGCGGCCGCGGGGACCCCGCCGCGGGACAGGAGGCCGCGCTGGGGGCGGACGCGGCCGGGAGCTCGGGCGGCGGCGCGAGGGCCGCGCCTGGGGGGCCGCGGGGCCGGCCGGACCGGGTCGCGCAGGCGCGGCCGCTGCCCCGGTGCCCGGCGGGCCCCCGGCTCCTCTTCGGGGCTGTTTTTAGTTCATCCGGGGAGTCTGCGCTCCGTTACCAAGTCCGCCTGCTCTACCCCGAGGACCCGGGAGTGCACCCCGCGCCCTGGGTTTCGGGAACCCCGTGGGTTGCACCCCTCGTTCCTCCATCTTCTGCCTTTTCCTCTGCAAACCCCGGGAGTTGGCTCCCCAGTGTCCTGCCGGGGTTTCGGGTAACGGCGGGGTAAGAGGCCGCCTCTCGGTTTCCTTTTTAAAGTTCAAAAAGCGCGATCGTGGAAGTGACACTCCGCCCGCCGCCTCCCGCCGCGCCCCTCCGCGGGGGCACCTCGGCCGCCCCAGACGGGGGAAGGCGCCGGGCCGGTGGAGCCGGGGTCACACCTCCCCGCTTTCGGAGGGAGGGCCGGGGGGTGGGGGCTGTCTGCGCTCCGGGATGTCGGACGGACGCCCTTGCCGACGCCCGGAGAGCGCTGCCCCGGAGGTAGCGGGCGCCCATGGAGCCCGAGCCCCGTTAGCAGGCTCCGAGGCGCAAAGCGTAGCCATTGGCTGGACCCAAGGGCGAGCCATGGGAAGCGGGTGCCTGCACCCCGGTAGACGTGGAGGACCTGGGTGTGAGGGAAGGAGGGCCTTCCGTCCGATGGGAAGTTCTTGGGTCCAGCGGAATTAGGACTCCACCTGGCCTTCATCCTTTTATTTGCACCGCCCCCCCACACACACACACACCCCGTATTTCCAGCTTCTGGCTCGGGCCTGAGGCTGCTGCTGCCGCTGCCGCCGCCTTCCCACGTAGCACCTGCTTCTCAAAGCGAACCAGCCACTTTCCTTACGAGTGAAATCGGAACCAGAGGAAAGTGATGTGTCTGCCGAGGGCTTAGAGCGGTGGGGGCCAAGGAAGCAGGCGGGGCAGCCAGACCTGTGAGCGGGGGTGCGAGCGGTGACGCAGCTGGAGCGCCCCGACACACCCCAGCGGGAGTCGCTAACTAACGGGGAGGCTGGCATCTCTCTGCCTAGATCTCAAGGCTTTCGAGAGGAGGCTCACCGAATACATTCACTGTCTGCAGCCCGCCACCGGACGCTGGAGAAGTAAGTGCCCGGATGTGTGTGTTCATGAAAGGGGACGTAAACTGAACAGTTGGTACTTTTCTCCCTGGTTAGCAATGGCTTACTTTAGTTTGAAACTCGAATGACAAACTCTGGCTCTACTACTGAACCATGGATGATGTTTCCTTTTGTTTCCACAGTTTCTAAATGTATTTAGCATCGTAAACAATGCATTGGAAAGAAACTTTTAAGAAAGGGACCTGGCCACCTTGCAGAGCAATCTTTTTTACTTTAACATTTAAATATATATATATATATATATATATATATATATATATATATATATATATATATATATATATTATTGATTTGAGAAAAGAGAGCAGAGGGAGAGAAGGATGAGAGAGAATCATTGGTTGGCTGCCTCCTGCATGCCCCCTATTGGGGGTTGAGCCTGAAACTGGGCATGTGTCCTGACCCAGAATTGAACGGTGACCTCTTGGTTCATAGGTCAACACTCAACAATTAAGCCACACCACGCAGGCTGAAGAACAGTCCTTGTAGTTGAATTTTCATTTAACCATTAAAATAGACATTTATTTTTTTTTAGTAAACAAATATTACAGATTTGATAGCCAATACATATAAAATTTTCAGTAGCTTATTTAGCAGTTTTACAATTTGCCTGCAAATGATAAAGTTTTGTTAAGGAAAATAATATTTATCATATATAGAGTGGGGCAAACGTAGGTTTACAGTTGTGAGTGCAAAACAGTTTAGTATTTTTATATGATGATTTTACTAGATGCCTGGTGCACAGAATTCATGCACCGCGGGGGAGGGGGTCCCCCAGCCCGGCCTGCGCCCTCTCACAGACTGGTTTTCTTCTGACTACTTTTAAGATGCTCTCTGCCTTTGTCTTTGTAGTTTCCCTCTAACGCACCCAGGTATTAATTTTCTTCCTCCTCACAGTGGGGATCCCTCTTGCAGTCCGGGACCCCTCGCTCCTTACTGCCTGCCGGCCTGCTTCTCCTTACCGTTCGGCTCCCTGAAGCTCCTTAGCGTTGCCATGGAGGCTGAAGAGACTCCCCCCACTGCCGCTGTGCTCGCCAGCTGTGAGCCCGGCTTCTGGCTCAGTGGTGCTCCCCCTGTGGGAGTGCACGGACCATCGGGGGCAGCTCCTGCATTGAGCATCTGCCCCCTGGTGGTCAGTGCGTATCATAGCGACCAGCCATTCTGGTTGTTCTGGTCATTTGGCCATAATGGTTGCTTAGGCTTTTACTATATAGCCTAGAGGCCCAGTGCACGAAATTTGTGCATGGGTAGGGCCCCTAGTGGGTACTGGCTACCATCTGGCTACCAGTGGGTACTGGCTACCGCCTCCCTTCCTCCCGCCACCACTGCCGCCAACCCGCCCCCTGGTTGAACTCCCAGTGGAGAGGACAATTGCATATTAGGCTTTTATTATATATGATTATTTTCCATATGAACAACTGTAAACCTACTTTTGCCCCTCTGCATTTGCAAAGGTTATGAAATTTGTTGATTTTAACAGTGATTATGCTGCTTTAGACCCTAACTGAGAAAAAAAAAACTTCACATTGTCTACTCACAAATAAAAAGAATTGAGGTTACTGCCCAGTAGAAGCAAGCACATATAGGCAAATGTACAAATGATGACATCGGCAAACAGAATGCTTTGCTGACTTACGTTGGGACCAGTCTTACGTTCTTGGAGGTTTATTGTTGAAACTAATTCCTGCCAAGAAAGAAGCACAGCTCACTGATCAGAATTCACAGGTAGTGGTTTCTTCAGGTTCTCTGGCTTTCCTAGAATTCCCTCCAAAACCGTGCGCCACTGTCCTGGAGAATCTTTTAAAGTACGTATGATGCTGCCCGAGCTTATAAAATGCACCATGATGACCACATTTTACCGTCTTACCTTCTCTGGTTGTGGTCCCCGCGCTCTCCTGTAAGCGGCGGCGTGGTTGATGTGTGTGTAACAGCAGGTGTATGATCACCCCTATGTGGGTTTGCTTTGCTTATTGACAATAAAACCACTGGAATATATTTCTTACTGGACATAAGAATTATAGGAAATTGATTTTAATCTGTTCTGAGATGAGAACTAATTTCAAAATTTGATGGTTATTAAATACTTAAGATGAGATTGTTTTTCTGTGATTTGCCTCTCCTTAAAATACATTGCCAGGACTTCTAGCCAATTAGGGATTTAATGTATTCCTATTGCTCTCTGACGCTGGAGCTGTACATTTTAAGACTGTTTCCCCGCTCAAGACAGTAGCTGCATTGATCAGAATATTAACGAGTTCTTGTTGCCTTTTCGTGATTTAGTAATGCCACTTACTAACTTTTACTTATGGTTTATTTAGAAGTTTTAAAAATAATTCTAGCTAAGTGGGGGGAGAGAAACCTTAGCGAAGATTTACTGTCAGTAATCTCTACCCGACCTTCCTGTGAGTCCCTTAAAGAAAACCCGATGCTGACTGGCATGCTCCACACACAGCACACGGACCTTTGCAATTAAACCGCAGGCTGCCAGGCAGACCCTGCAGTCAGAACTCGCAGGCATTCATAAAGGAGGCTTTGTCTGGTTGGTCACATTGGAAATGAGAGGGTTTTTGTTTTGCTTTTTATTTGAATTTGCAAAATCAGTACAAAACACATTGAAAGTTATATGATGTAGAATCCTAAAGTTTTGCCATCTTGGTTTTATTGCTTTAATTTCATTAACTTTCATACGTCTGACAAAGTAACGAGGGGGACAGTATTGTCCTCAGTAGCTCAGGTCACAAGGGTTCGTGGCGAGTCCCCTGTCCGCATCAGGTACATTTTCCGTTCCTGAGTGCGCTGCCTGGGCTGTCATTGGTCAGTGGCTGGTGGCGGCATTTTCTCCTGCTGGAGCTCATTCCGTACTAATTTTGTGTTTATCTCTCACCAGTGCTTCTCATAGTGGTATCTGTGTGTACAGCTACTGGTGCCTGGAACTGGTTAATAGATCCCGAGACACAAAAGGTAGATGTTTGATTTACAATCTTTAATACATTAAACGCGGTCCTGGCTGTAACAGTGCTTTGTTCGTTGGGGAGTGTTAGACGCTGCTGCTAACAGTGGCATCAATCATCATATTAAAAACACGCCTTACATGAATGTGCTTCAGAAAACCTTTGGCTGGCCATTGGGAATTAAGTATGTTTACAGGGGAAAGGCCTAAGAAATACAGCTCCACTTGGATTACTCCTCGCTCGTTTCTGAACTGGGTGCAGCTTTCTGTCTTATTTGTCCCTATTTTTACTGTTCGGCTTCACTAGTGTCCGCAGGGCCAGCTTTCGAGAATTATAACATTTTCTCCTATCGGCTCCCTTTGTTAATACTTTCCTCACCCCTCAAAGCATGGAGCCGGCTCTGTAGGAAGCACGTGACAAAATAGCACACTATAAATGTTATAAACAGTCAAGACAGAAATCCATTGGACTTGGAGGACAGAACCAGGCACGACCCCCGGTCACTGACGGGGTGGCCGTGTGAATTGCGTTACAGATGAGCCTCCGAGGCCCCTCATCGATCATGTCCCTGCCAGTTCCCCGGGTTTCATTGTCTGTGAAGAGGTATACGTATGTTTCTTAGCTAGCAAAGCTTTTATTTCCTTAGCATTTTATCTCCAAAAAAATTTCCTGCCTGGAGTTTAATATAGGAAACACGGAGAGCGCTCCCATTGGGCACGCCGGCGCATCCCGGACCACTGCAATAACGGGTTCATAACGGGGTCCTCCAGGCGCCCCCTGAGGAGAGCCGGGAGCGTGCCCCTCAGACTGCCTCTGTCTGCTCACCGCTCTTCACACCACGCTCGTCGTCTTTATTAGAGAAGCCGTAGTCTCCGATCTATCAGTGAGGTGGTTCCTCCCGTGCAGCTTTATTTATGTACTAATGTAAATGTATTTAAAATGTATGTAAAAATGTTATTTGTGTAAAATTGTGTAATTTTCGCAAACCTTAATCCCACTCCCCCCTTATGAACTGGGATGCGGTAGCCTTGTCAGCAGCTGTACGCATGACCTTTTCCACGGGAGAAAAGCCAGATCGGAGGCTTGTCGGCAGCTGCACGGCCGCGCAGGCAGCAGGGTTCTCAGCGCCGTCTCCCGCCTGGCCCACCGGGGCGGGAGGTGATGAGCAGGGGAGGTTGGCGATGGAATTTTATGTTAATAGAGGGGTTCTGTGGCAGAGAGGAAATTCTCCTGTGTGTTCATTTATAAAAACCCGGTGGTGAGGCTGCGCTTGGTACTCATCTTTGGGGGAAGAGTGAAGGAAGCTGCAAGAAGATTGAAAAAGGTCTGTCTGGGGAAATGAGGCTGACTTCTAATTGGGAAAAATACAAGCTGATTTCCAGCTAGTTGAGATCTTAATAAAACACAGAATTAAATGTAATTTGAAATAGGCCCAAAACTCTGTAGTTAATATGATTTTCTAAATTAGGTGCGAAGGTGAGGATTAGCCTAAGGGTTGGCTCTGTATATTTTAGTATTTAATAAGCTTCAACCTGACAGGCCTTTTCAATAGCAATTGTGTCTGTAGCTGGAGATGCAGACTCCAAGCCAGTGGCTAGCTGGAGGGACACAGGAGAGGGACCTGGCATATGTGGGCCCCCCCTCCCCCCCGATCTAAAGGGACACTGCGTGGCTGCAGTGGCTGAGGCCACAGGAGGGAAGGTGGCCCCGGCTGATGGAATTAAATTAAAGCAGGGACTGCCCGTGCTGCCACGGCGCAGGCACACAGCACACCGCGGGCCCGGGGCATAACACCGGCCTCGGGTTTAAAGGAGACAGGTCGCTGGAACAGAATCTTCCTTCAGGAGCTCATCCTTCTGGGGGCGTCTTCCTCCTATGTCTCCCGCTCCCCGTTTCTCCGTTTGACAAGTTTATTTACCCAGGACCGAGCTAGGCCGTCCGCCAGGCTCTTTTCCTAAGTCCAGTCTTTGTCCTGAGGCAGGTTCTCGCCTCGTGGTGTTCGGGGTACAGAGTCTTAGCTTGACTCCTCGCTCCCCTCGCTTCCCAGTCCACTTGTTTCTTGGCCAGACCAGACATTTGTCTTCTCTCCGCTCACCTGCTTCCCCGACCCCAGGGGTCTGCTTTCCGTGCTTGTTTGTTTCCGAACGTGGCTCCTGGACGCCCGTCCCCCTGGTCCTAGTGTCATGTGGGGTCCTGTGTTCTGCTATCCACTGAGGGTCCAGATCTGAACCCCTTTCCCCCGAACTCTGGTCTCTGGATAGCTCCCAGTGGTTTCCCTGCTCGACATCCCGTGGCCACTGAGTCTCAGGGGCTTCTAAGCCAATCCCACCGCTGCTGCAGAGGGAAGGAGGGGTGCGGGGGGAGTCCTGAGAATGCGCAGGGGTAGCCGGTAGAGAGGGGGGGGGACAGGCAGCCCCTGTGCCGTGTGGCAGGAAGCGATGCCACGGGACCAGCCACGCATGGCACAGTCTGCCCAAGCCCTAAGGAAGCGTCTCAGCGGGGAAAGGTGCTAGACCACTGGGTCTGACTTGTTTTCATTGAGATGAGTCTTCCCTCTTCGCAAGACTCGGGGAGCGTGCTGCTCCAGAGGCACAGACCGTGTCCCTCTCAGGGAACCGAAGAGGGTGCTTTTTTGTGGGCCTCTCCCTGGGAGGGCTCAGTGCGTGTTCGGGGTTTTATTACAGGAATGAATTTGTAGTGGTTCAGGTATCTGGAATGAATGGAGGGAATATTACTATATTGCTACCTTGAATATGTAAACGATATTATATGTTTTCATTTTTATAGCATAGCAATACAGAGAACTGGCAGTCTTGGCAGTCTTCAAATGCCCGTATTTAGATGATTAAATGTTACATATATGCATGCCTGAGTGGAGAGGTGGGAGGGAGTCTGTGTTGTCTGAGACTTTTCACATTTTTCTCTCGCAAACCTCTCTCCAGGTGTCGTTCCTCACGTCGCTGTGGAACCACCCGTTCTTCACCCTCAGCTGCATCACCCTCATCGGCCTCTTCTTCGCCGGCATCCACAAGCGCGTGGTGGCCCCCTCCATGTATCCTTTCTCGGCGAGCCCACTGGGAACCCTTCCCGGCGAGGGAGGGCGGGACAGCCTCTTCCAGTGCCGGGTTTCCTTTAACCGCCCTCAGTATAGCTGCGCGGTGTCGGACTATATTAGCGGAGTACAACATGTCTTGTGATGACGTGAGTATTTTCTTCACTTGAAAATTAGACCTGTGAAAGGACTATATTTTTGCTTAAGTGAAGCACGCATTTTATTAACAATAATGATCTCCATGGAATTAATAGTGGGGGTATTCCTTAACGCATTGATCCTAAGACTTTTTAAGTAATTTAACATCTCTGGAATTGGGGTGGATTTAATAAGTCAGGGTGTCTGGCAGTTACATTGGTAGAGTTGATAGTTTAATTTTTCTTAATGGTGCAGCTCTCCTCTGATTCCAGCTGTTGGTTAGCATTTTAGTTTGAAGAAATTAAAGTTCATTGTTGGGAAAATAAAAGTTCAGTTCAACTTAGGAAAAACTTAAGTAAAATTTACTGCTGGAAAAAGAAATGCTTTTGTCACACACATCATGTTATTCGTAGTGTTTTATACAATGTGGTAAAGCATAAAAATTAATCCAATTACACTAGTTTTATTTTACCCGGTTGATTGGATTAGTTTTAAGTAACCAGGGGACAGGGAATATATCAAATATTGTACGTGTGTGTTTTAAAATAATAAAGACTGAAAGAAAGCTCCACGTAGTGAAAACTTTGAAAAATAATTCCATTGCTTAATCTTGACTATACCCTTCAAGTGTCCTCTGAGGTTTACAGATAAGTGGCGGTGTTTTTAATAGAACTGTGCGTTTAAAAACTTCACCTTTTATTCTTACAGACAGGAAAGCTGATTCTGAAACCGAGGCCCCACGTCCAGTGACAGTGTGCAGCCCGCGGCGGGCCCGGAAGCAGCCTTTCCTCAGAGCCTGGCCCCGCAGCAGCCACAGCCTTCCCGGGGCGGGGGCGGTGGACGGCAGCGAGACCGCCGACAGCCGTGTGCAATACTTACCCGGAGGCTTGGCGGGGACCCCAGGATCAGCACCTCCCGGATCAGCGCCCCACCCCGGGATCAGCAGGCCCCGCGGGCCGTTCGCGTTCAGTGTTAGCGTCACTTTAGTACTTCGGAGCCTGCAGCGGTGGTTGCAGGGGAAGTGTGTGTGTATGTGACTAAGTAAAACTTAGAAACAGAACCTCATCCAGTTTTTATAATGTATTTTTTCAAACTACTGTAAATAGCAGATCAATGCCAATGTCAAAGAGGAAAGCGCTATGTGGACTTGTTCTCCTGCACCAGCTTCAGGAAGGTCGGCGCGCCATCGCCAAGGCCTTCACCACCTCCTGCTCCGTGCAGCGTGCCTTCCTCTGCCAGCCTCCTCGCCATCAGATGCAGGACCGCCGCGTGGGCTTGGCCGGGAGGAACTCATCTCCATTATGTTATAAGAAATCCTAAATGTTTTGAGAAACAGTTTTCGTTAAACCAGAGAGTGAACTTCAGCCACTACGGGGGAGATATTTTACTAGTCATTGTTTTCATTTAATGCTAAATTTACTTTATGTTTTAAAAATAATTTTAAGAACACTCCAGAGGCTTCTGAAAATGCCGGTTTAGTTATCAATTATGTATTGTCTGGGAAGGGATGGTTATTGTTTTAGATAATTGGATTTTACGCTGTGGTCAGCGTGCCGTGGCACTAGTATTGCATAGTGTCCTTGATCATCGGCTCGTCACCAGGAGAGCCGGGGACGGTGCCCCAGCGAGGACAATTCTCACCGTTAGTGTTACTGACATACTGAGAATGCATCTCAGCCACATGGACTCTATGGCCTAGAATTAAAGTATTGGGATTGCTATAAATATTTTAAAGAACCGGAGGTGTCTTTTATCTGTTTATTAGAAGATTTTGAGAAGGTTTAAATTATTTCAAGAGCAATCTTTTAAATTTCATTTAACATGAAGCTGAGAATTCAGTAACAGGACAAGAACTTTTTAACCAGGCGACCGTTTGATGGAAACGTGTTCCTCCGGCCTGTCCGTGCGTCAGGTTTTATTCTTTGGGCTGTAGCAATAAAACATGCTCCTGCGAAGTCTTAAGAGGGTATTCTGTGTTCTGCGTTGTTGTATTTTCTGTAAATTTTGTAGGTAAATATGTGCATAAAATAAATACTTTATATATATAATCGGTGATTGGGCTTTTCCTTGGTTTATTGTAACTCAGTACAGGCTAGATCCAAAGGAGATGTTTTACTTAATTCCGTCAGGAGAGCCGTTTCCAGGAGCACTTGCACGTGCCCGATTATTGGGCTGTGCCTTTGTCTCTCACTGGCTAATAGCATTTGGCTCTGAATCAGGAAATGCAGGTTTTCTGCACCTTGCATTTCCAGCTTCCTCCAAGAGGACAAACTGGGCTTAGGTAGTGTGGTAAAGGCCTGGGAGGGAGTGGGAATAGGAAGGTGAGGGTCAGGGGGACCTGGGGAAGGAGAGGGCTATCTGTAGTACTTTCAACAATAACGATTAAAAAGAGGAACTGGTTAGGTCCTTAGATCTTTCTGGAGGTATCAGCTGCTTTGTGTATTTTACTTAAAGCCATGCAACTTCTCCCCTAGGAAGATATGTTGTGTACATGCACATACTTGGCATGGTTTGGAGAGGATTTCCCAGATTTCCTGGTGCCAGCCTCCTTGGAGTCCATTGGCTCCAAGAAAGAAACTTTTGTAAAGGTTTTTTTATACCTTTACTCATGGCAGAACAATTCATTTTCCAAGCACCCCTTTGCTCTGGTTGAAACAGGCCCAAGGGTTGTGGCCAAGTTAGTTTCTCCTCACCACTGCCCTGACCGTCATCCCTGCTTCCCCGCTTCCAGGAAGGAACTCACTGGGGCGGCTGCGCTGATTCTATAGGCGGGGCAGGCAGTCCCAGTGACTTTAGATCCCAATGGCTTCGCAAACACAGGCAGCACCAGAGCCCAAGTCAGACCGAAAGGATATGTAAGTGTTCATGTGTGGTTGGGCCTAATTCATGAGCGGTTACAATGTTAGGGTTAGGAACAGACTATACCAGGCTGGATTCAAATCTCAGATCTGCTACTTGCAACTTTCCTCATTTATCCTGGGTAGATAAAATACAGGCTGGGGCAAAAGTAGGTTTATATAGTTGTGAGCATGCAAAACATTTATTCTTGTATTATTATTATTGTATTATTGCCCATACAAATGACTAAACCTGCTTTTGCCCAACCCTGTATAAGGCTGGTCAATCTTTCAGGTTCATATAGAGCATTAAACATGTTAGTTCATGCAAAGCACTCGGCTACAAAGTCACTGCTTAGTAAATCTGTTACATCCTAAAAGTTAAAAAAAAAAAATAAAAGAAAGGATCCCACTGTTACAACCTTACCCAATGTCAACATCTCAGTTGAAATAGCCATGAGGAAATTCAGTCTGTATCTGAACTAAGCAAACTTCTGAGTGGATTAAATGCCAAGAGAAAAGATATTTGGCCTCAAAAGTGGTGCTTATTATGTACTAGTCAGTCTGTGTTCTTAGCATCTTTAACACTAACAACCCTATAACTGCATTAGGTATATTTTATTGACGTCTCCATATCACGGATGAGGAAACTGAGGCAGAAGTACTAAGGAACTGTTTCAGGAGTCCATTCTAAAATATTAACTGGGATTTGTCTATGTCAGGAGTTGTGCTAGGCACCAGGGCCACAAAATGACGGTGAATATTTTTTGAGCGCCCCCTGTACCTAGGGCTTGGTGTTAGGATGCTTTCCCCATCATTTTATTTAAGCCTCACAGTTGCCTTGCTAGTTGGGTACCCTTAACCCCATTTGATCATTATGAAAATTAAATTTGATTACTTGGCGAGGTTCAGTAGCCATCAACAGCACCAGCAGGTGGGAGGTGCGTTCCTTAGTTCCATTCAAACCCGGCCGCCTTCCCGGGAAACTCCTCGGGACTCCGCCCCTCCGCCAGGTCTGGCCCCGCCCACCCGCTCTGCGCCTGCGCGCTCCTGGCGCAGCCCCCTCCTCTCGCGCGACGCGGCGCGCGCCTGCGCACTGCGGTCCACGTGGGCTCCCGCCGTCAGCCGGCCCAGGTGAGCCGCCGCGCGAACGCCGCTCCGCCAGGCCCTGCCGCCCGCGGGGCCGCCGCCGCCGCCGCGCCGCCGCCGCCCCCTCTCGGGCTCCCCGTTGCCATGGGCAAGAGCAGGACGAAGCGCTTCAAGAGGCCGCAGTTCTCCCCCGCCGGCGACTGTCAGGCCGAGTTGGCGGCGGCGGCGAACGGGACGGAGCTGGAGGAGGACGACGGGCCGGCGGCGGAGCTGCTGGAAAAGGTGGGCGCGGGCCCGGGGGCCGAGGGGCGGCCGGGCCGGGCAGGGCCGGGCGGGGGCGGCGGGCTGCGGCCGGCCCCGCGCCTGCGCGCTGCCCCCTCTGACCCGCTCCCTCCGCAGCTGCAGCACCCGAGCGCCGAGGTCCGCGAGTGCGCGTGCGCGGGGCTGGCGCGGCTGGTGCAGCAGCGGCCGGCGCTGCGGGGCCTGGCGCGCCGGGAGGCCGTGCGCCGCCTCGGGCCGCTGCTGCTGGACCCCAGCCTGGCGGTGAGGGAGACGGCGGCCGGCGCGCTCAGGTGAGCGGGGAGGGCGGGCGGCCGGGGCGGGCCTTCTGGGCGCTCCCATTGCATCCTCCACGCCCCGTCCTAGGCCGCGCGCGATCGCCCTGAGCCGTCCAGGCGTCTTTCCCCCTCCACCCCCCCCCCCGCTCCCATTTGCAGAAGAGGGACTTGAACTCAGACCCCTGAGTCTCCCACCCTTTCCAGCGGCCTCCCCTCGGAGCCTAGCGCACCCTGTCCCCTCTCCGGGAGCCCTCCGGAGTCCTGAGATGCGGGAACCGCTCCCAGTTTCCCTGTGCCAGGGCCTCCGGGTGCAGGCAGCCGAGATCCCTGCCGCCGCAGGGCCCGTGCTGGTGCGGCAGGCAGCGGGGAGAGAGCCGTGCTCCGGAGAAAACCAGGAGGAGGACGAGTTGGGGTGAAACGGCACTTTAAAGTGTTTGCCTTCTAAGTGACAGCTAACGGAGGAGAGAGCCAGAAATGGGGGTGGAGGCGGGAGGAACAGCCAAGAAGGGAGGCAGCAGAGGCCTTGGCATGGTTGGGTGAGTCGGGTCGGGGCGGGTGTGCTGGGAGGGGAGGCTGGGGGGGTGGACAGGGCTTGGGGTGCAGGGCGAAAGGACCAGTTCATTCTAAGCAGGAGTGGCCTGATCCCGGCTTCTTTCCCACAAGGGCCCTCTGGTGGTGCAGCGGGTGGACTGCAGAGGGGGCCAGAGGAGGTGTTAGTGTTTGTAGTCCTTCTGGCTCCGCCTCTGTGGATGGTGCTCCACTCATTGACTTAGCAGGCCGGGGTGCTTCAGGGGTGTCCTTCTCAGCGGGTTCCAGGACAGGGTTCCCTCACGTCAGATTAGGCTGGGATTTATGCGCATTAAATAGGGAAAGTCTTTTCCCCGCCCATCCCTTTGGGCACACACCCACGTGTAGGACAGGGATCAGAACAGGCGGGAATCCAGAGATTGGTTCTGCCACATCTTACCAAATAGTAGGCAATTTCGCCTGGGAAACCTTAATCCTGGTTAGAAACAGAAGTTCATTGGAGCGCTCCCTGGTGTGTGGTGATGTGCTCTGAGAGCAACCGTGTCTTACACGTCTCTGCAGGAACCTCAGTGCCTGCGGAGGGTTCGAGGTCTGCGATGACATGGTGGCCAAGGACATCATGACGCCCCTGGTCCCGCTGCTCCGGGAGGTATGCCGTCCGGGGGCAGCAGTGAGACGGATCATTTGGTGTACAGACTTAGTGTTCTGTGTGCGTGTGTTTTTGTCAGCGCTTGGGTGTTATTGGGAAGTTCATTTCTTCTCCTGGGAACACGGATCTCTCCTCAGTGATAGCAGCCCCTAGTTGGTCCCCACTACCTTCATGTATGTGCTGGTTGGAAATAGACACACTCCTTTAGACTTTAAACTTCATACAATAAAATAATTAGCATTACTTCTTTGTTTTAAATTTCTCTATTTCAGAGAGGAAGGGAGAAGGAGAGAGAGATAGAAACATCAATGAAGAGAGAGAATCATTGATTGGCTGCCTCCTGCACGCCCCCTACTGGGGATCGAGCCCGCAACCCAGGCATGTGCCCTTGGCTGGAATCGAACCTGGGGCCCTTCAGTCCGCAGACCGACGCTCCATCCACTGAGCCAAGCCAGCCAGGGCACCAGATGATCTGTCACTCAGTTAGACCCTCACAGCAGTCCACTTGGCATCTGTAAAAGGTCTATTTGTTTTGGGTTGTTTTTTTTTTTTTGCTGAAAGATGACTTTTAAGTTCCCAGATTTAATATCATGCCAACTTTTTTGCATGATATGAATTCTGGGGTCAAGGACCTCTCTCCCTGGCGTGCCTCTGATCCACGACACTGTCCTGACGGTAATTTTCACTCAGGGCTATCTCAAGGTCATTCAGTTCTGAGGAGAGGCACCGTCTTGTTCCTTTGTAAAGCAGGGGTTCACTAGGAGTGGTTTACCCCCCCAAGAGACATTGGCAGAGTCTGGAGCCATTTTTGATGGTCACAGCTTGGGCTGGGCTGCTCCTGGCAGGAAGTAACCAAGGTCACTGCTAGCCCTCCTGCAGCGCCCGTCAGCCCCACAGTAAGACTCGTCGGTCTAAAGCCCCGCCCGGGCCGGGGTAAGAGTCCCTGCTTAGGGGACGCTGTGGCTATGCGGGAGGCGCAGCTCCCCAGGGTGGTTCCCAGCACCCACTTCGGAGCCAGCACGCCTGGTCTGAGTCCCAGCTGCACCCCATACCACGCACCCCTCAGCAGCTCTCTGTGCCTCAGTTTCCTACCGGCAGAGGAAGACCGGGATCGTAGTTCCTCTCCTCCTCCGTGGGCTGTGGTGAGGGTTAGTGACTTAACGCATGGGAAGTGCTTAGACCGGTGCCTTGCATTTAGAAGATGCTGTGTAGGTGTCTGATCTCGCCATGTGTTGGTTTTCTTTGCCTTATTTACTGTCTTTATCACATGAGATAAAATACTTTCTATTGATTTTACATTTTCATTTTTTTGTTTTGCCAATCCTCACGTGAGGATATTTTTTCCATTGATTTCCACAGAGAGCGGAGGGGTGGAAGGGAGGCAGGGAGAGAGAAACATCCATGTGAGAAAGACATCAACCGGATGCTTCTCACATGCACCCCGATAGGGGCAGGGATCCTGCAACCCAAGTACATGCCCTGGACCGGGAATCGAACCGGAGACTCCTTAGTCCTCAGGCCAACGTTCTAACCACTGAGCACCCGGCAAGGGCTGCATTTTCATGTCCGTGTGCAGTGCTTTATCACTAGTTTGTCCAATGGCTGTGGCCCTTTCCTGTCTGTATCTCTTGCCAAAAGGGAACAGGCTTGTTAAGCACTATAATTTCGGATGTTTAGTTATTGGGACTCTTCGCTATCATTAGCTGTTTGGTTTAATTGTCCTTTTGAACCAGGTGCTAATTTTGATGTTTGGTTGCAGTGTAGCGATGGACTGGATTCAAACCAGCCGCCTCCCCGGGAAGAGAAGGAGCAGAGCAGAAGTTCTGTTGAGAACATAGCCAACGAGGCGGTGAACTTGCTGTGGAACATCTGGTAAGGTGCTCTCCGCCCCGAGGATGCTCCGCTCTCTTTGGGGCGCCTGTCAGCCCGGATGCTGACCCTGGGTAGGCAGATGCTGACCCTGGGTAGGCTGCGGTCAAGTCAGGTGCTGAGGCCTCCTTCCCACTTGGTCCCTTCCCTCATCACAGCATCTCTTCCTGCTTTCCCACTCTCTTCTCTCCGGTCGTTACTACTGACCAAAATACAGGGAGTCTTGGCCACTGGCACTGACCGCACACCCTCCCCCCACCGCCCGGATCCCTTCAGTGGCAGTTGTCCCGGCACAGCCGCTGCTTTGGTCTGGCATCTGGAACGAGATGGGACTACCCAGCTTGGTGGTGCTTGACACACACACACACACACACACACACACACACACACCCCATGTTGCCATGCGACAGGGAAGCAGGGGCTGGGGGGAGCTCCATTCCAGGACCAGCAGCCGGGGCCTGGGTGCACGTGCTCTGAGGAGTGGAAATGGCTAGAAACACAACCTGGATCTCCTTTTCTCTACCCACTTTATCTTCTCCATTTTTAGCAAGATTCTGCCGGAGTTCCTTCTGCTCAGTCGGCAGCAATTGTAACTTCTAGGCTAAAAGCACAGGTATTTCTTAGAAGACAAGGTTCAGTTAGATCTGAAAGGCTCCAACACAGCAGCCCGAACTTGCCTTTGGCTCATGGGAAACCGTGCACGCATTCCCCAGCAGCACGGGAGAGCCGATGTGAGGAGATGGCAGTGGAGCCAGCAGTGGCACACCACGTAACTTTATTTATTAAATGTTTTTATTAGCTTCAGAGACGAAAGGAGAGGGGGAGAGAAAAACATCAGTGATGAGAGGGAATCATGGATCGGCTGCCTCCTGCACGCCCCATACTGGGGCTCCTGCCTGCAACCCAGACATGTGCCCTGACTGAATGGGAATCAAACCCTGACCTCCTGGTTCATAGGTCAGCCATTGAGCCACCCGGGTCACGAACCTTTAACTTACAGGAATTATTGAACTTGGAGATTCTCTAGAAATTTCTCCGGGAAGAGCCTGAAAGTGTGGTCTCCTCAGTGATCTCTTTCCTAATGCCTGTGTCATCTCTTTCCTGATGCCTCTGTGCCATTGCCACTTCCACGTTTGCTTTGTAGTTTGTGTTGTAAATATATTTACTACATGTATGCGTATGTTTACTGTCTCAGCGCATGTGTGCTTACCTTCCTGACTGTGCTGACCTGACTGCGGGCTTCCTGAGGGCAGGCTCACAGAGTGTGCAGTAACCAGAGAGAGAGGAAGACAGAACAGGCTATGTTTCAGTTCGTAGGATTTAGTGACGTAGCCAGCTTAGCTATTAGTGTGTCATATGTGCATGTGATATGTATGGGGCAATACTTTCTCTGGAAACATGGCTGTCATTGTTACAGTTAGCTCTGTTTACCCTGTATATAGTACGTATGTTAATAGCAGTGATAACCCTAATTCTGGTTCTTTTATTAACAGAACGATTTTTAAAAATAGTATAGCAGGATCTCCATTGCAGACTGCAGATTCTGCTTGTTATGATTATAATAGTCTAGAAAGAATGGCTGAAATTAATTCTGCTTCCTTAAAACGTGTCCCTTTGGGGATAAGCTCAGGGGCCTTTCACTGATTCACTGCGGCCTGGTGGGAAGCACCGGCCGACCCAGGAGCCACCAGTAACACACTGTGGTCCTGGGACGGGTCCCTCACCTCTGGTGCCTGGGTCTCTCATCTGGAAGATGGGGTGTTCGGTGAGAAGCCGGGGTACAGGGAGAGGGGGGCAGAAAGAGCCCACGGGGACAGAAGCAGATGCAGACCCCGGCTGTTCCTGTCCAGAGAGCATGGGGGCAGTGGTTACTTCGTCCATAAAAGTGGCGGTTCTGTTATAAACTTGGCTGACTTCCCATGAGTTTCTGTGGTTGATTGCTTAATGTGGAAATGTGAACAGTAAAACTTCTTCGCCCTCCAACCCAGTGAGTGCAGCAGCAGAGCGGTGTCTATATTCACCAGAGAAGGCTGTCTGGAGAGCGTCCTGAAGTGCTTAAGCAGGTTCCCCACCAACGTGGACCTGGCCGTCTCAGCAGGTAAGGGGAGAACGGGCTGACCTACGTATGTGTGGCCTCAGTGAAGCTGCTTATTCAGACATGTTTTCTCGTGTGCAGTGCATAGCTGAGCTCTGTTCTGTGGTCAGTACTTAATAGCCAGTTTTCCTGCTCTGCACGCCGAGAGGGCGGAGGGCAGTTCATTGTGTCGGTGTGGCGTCTGCTGTTCCCACTCGCAGGCGCCTCGCCTCCTGAGCTCCCGTCTGCCATTCAGGGAGAAGCAGTGGCCCTCTGCTGCCAGGCCTCCAGCCAAAGGTCATCGGAATCTGCTCCTATTTAAACACCTGTATCACTATCTCCTGCTTTTTCAAAAACATGTGTTTTTTTATTTTTAGACAGAGAGGAGGGGAGAGGGATAGGATAGAAACATTGATGAGAGAGAAGCATCATCGATCAGCTGCCTCCTGCACACCCCTACTGGGGATCAAGCCCACAGCCCAGGCTTGTGCCTGACCGAGATCGAACCAGTGGCCTCTTGGTTCATGGTGCTCTTGGTGCTCAGTCACTGAGCCACACCAGCCAGGCTGCTGTCTCCTAATTTTAGCATAAAATTGTAAGTCAGACTTTTTTTTTTTTTTTTTGAGAGGAAAGCAAATGATATAAATTTCTCGCAGGCCTGCTTCCCTTCCCTGGGATGGCAAAGCTGCCCCACCTCCCGCCTCCTGTCCATGGGTTTAGAGAGCCATTGGTGAGGTAGGAGAATGAAACTGGAGACCTTGAACGCAGAAATAATTGATGAAAGCATGCCTTTTCTGCCCATAACACTGGCATGCATCCTTTATTTAACTCTGCCTTCTCTTGACAAGGACAGAGCGCATTCCCCTGAAGGATGTTTCTCTGGGCTCAAAGGGGACTTTTAAGAGCCCAGAAAAGAAAGAAAAAAGGGAGGTGGGGGACAAATGCTGGGAAATATTTTAAATCTTGGCAAGTGGGAGACTGAGCAAATGCAGTTTTATAAACAGTGGAAAGAGGAAATTGGCAGGTTAACCTCTTGAGGACGGTTTTTATCACAATGAGAGTTTCAAGAAAGTTAGCTCTTAGCTTTTAAAAGAAAAACGTCACTTCTATTTTCGTGTCTTCAGTCTTGTCAGAGATTTGTTTGAATTCAGGGGAGGAGTTAAATGGTTATTTGGGTGTAAATTCAGCCCGCAGAATTCATGTTTGTGAGCATTCGTCCCTGTCTTCCTAGCGTACTGTTTGCAGACGGTAACTGAGGATAACCCCGAGCTGCTGAGAGCCTTCGGTGCCCCCGCATTGCAGGTGCTGGAAGCCGCCATGCGGGCTCCTGCCAGTTCCATGGCGTACATCCTGTTGAAGACACTGGTGGCAGGTAAACTTCAGCCGGCTGTGACAGGGCACTTTTCATAACTTGTAGCGATAGGAGGCAGACATTCCTTGATTTCACGAATCCAATCTGTGCTTGTTATGGCTGTTCTGAAAATTTTTTTTTAATGTATTGATTTTTTTACAGAGAGGAAGGGAGAAAGAAAGTTAGAAAAATCAATGAGAGAGAAACATCGACCAAGCTGCCTCATGCACACTCCCTATTGGGGATGTGCCTGCAACCAAGGTACATGCCCTTGACTGGAATCGAACCTGGGATCTTTTAGTCCACAGGCTGACGCTCTATCCACTGAGCCAAACCAGTTAGGGCTGTTCTGAATATTTTAATATTGAAGTAGAGACCCTGAATTCAAGTGGTATGCATAGCTGGGAAGCCTTCTAGAGTCAACTTGTTTTCAGTGTGACAGAGACTGTTGTTGATGAGAAATACTGCTCTCAGGGTCCCCCTACGAACCGGGAAGATCAGAAATGAGCTGAGGGCATCAAGACGTGACCCCTCACTTTTTTTTTTTTTAAATACATTTTTACTGATTTCAGAGAGGAAGGGAGAGGGAGAGATATTATAGAAACATCAATGATGAGAGAGAATCATTGATCGGCTGTCTCCTGCCCAGCCTCACTGGGGATCCAGCCTGCAACCCAATCATGTGCCCTTGATCGTGAATCAAACCATTACCTCCTGGTTCATAGGTCAGTGCTCAACCACAGAGCCACACTGGCCAGGCTGTATGCACCACATTTGGTTTATCCATTCACCTGTGGATGGACACTTGGACGGCTTCCAGCTTCTGGCTGTTGAGTAATGCTGCCATGAGTATTTGGATACAAGTATCTGTTTGAACCCCTGCTTTCGGGTGTGTACCCAGGAAGCATTTTTAACAGTCACGTTTTATTCCTTTTTCTTTTTCCTTTATTTTATTGATTTTTCACAGAGAGGAAGAGAGAGGGATAGAGAGTTAGAAACAGATGAGAGAGAATCAACAAATCAGCTGCCCCCTGCACACCCCCTACTGGGGAAGTGCCCGCAACCAAGGTACATACCCTTGCTCGGGACCTTTCAGTCCACAGGCCGACCCTCTATCCACTGAGCCACACCGGTCCCGGCAACAGTCACGTTTTAAACAGACGGCCTAAGTACTTAATGGTGGCTCCTGTTGTATTTTGATAAGAACGTGCTGCATGATTGGTCTGTGCGTGAGACCTTGGAATTTTTAGTGCATTCCATCCCACCCTTGGAATATAAGAAGCTGCCTCAGAGAGCAGCTCAGGTTAAGATGAAAGAAAGAGGCAAATGAATTTATCATTTTCAGAGAAACTCGATCGTGCTCCTGGGCCATTGGGAGGCGGCCTGTCAGAGGAGGGGCTGAGCGCCAGGAGGGAGAGGTGGCAAGGGCCGTAGTAACAGGAGCTGCCTCTGCTCAGCTCCTGCCATTTACCAGAAACCAGACAAAGGCAGAGGGATCAAGATCTTTTGAAATTACAGCTGAGCTCAGAGAACCCGTCTTGTGGAGACCGAAACTAACCAGAGAGTTCACAGGCGATTCCCTTGTCCTTGCGCTCGTGTTTGCCAGGCACCGTTTGGAACCTGAAGGACATTATTCCGTCCAAGAGTCAAGCAGAGACCATAAGCGCCATCCTCAAGATCCTATCGGAAGTTCTGGACGTGGACGCCGGCGCAGTGGTCATGCAGATGAAGGAGGCCGAGGCGCAGAGGCTGAGGGCCGCCGCGGAGACCGAGGAAAGGTCGGGGAAGGCGAACGGCGTGGGGCTGACCGACGACGACGAGATGGAGGAGACTCCTCCCGGGAGGAGGGTCCGGAGGAAAACCATGATCTCGGATCTGCTTCCGGTGCGTTGGGCCGGTGCTTCCTATACGGTCACAGAGGTTTTCTTTCAGGGGCCAGCCTAGAGGCACATGGTAGTGACTTGCTGGTGTGCCGGTGTTGGCACCGTAGGGGCTGGGCACACGGTAGTGACTTGCTGGCGTGCCGGTGTTGGCATCGTAGGGGCTGGGCCCCGGCCCCCCGGGAGCTGCGTGTGTAGAGCAGAGGACGGGAGGGGCTGTCAGCACTCTGGACAGGCACCTGGTGCCTAGAGGCTGGGCTGTGCCCGCATGGTGAGAGCAGGTGGGCGGTGGGCTGGAGGCCGGAGGCACAGGAGGCCTGAGCTGGAGCCTTCTGGAGGCGGAGGCCTGAGCTGGCAGGGGCACGGACGCCCCACTGTCCGGCTTCAGACCAGCTGTCCTCCGTGTCAGACGACTGACCCTGAGGCTGCGCCTGCCGTTGCGCTTTGGTGATGCCGGGCCCAATGAGGGTCCCCGTGGAAACGAGGAGAGTCCCCCTGGAAAGAAGCCTGTCAGCGTAGCGCTTGGTTGTGTTCAGTCTCCAAAGCATGAGTCAGCGGCGGTCAGAGGAAAACTGTAGTTAGGCTCCTGTGCTAGCCCCTGAGTAGCTGTTAGGTGCAAAGCTGGTCAGGTGTGGGATGGACGTTGCCCTTGAGTTTCTTGCACGTCATAGAGCGTCGCCCTGGCCATTTGCCTCTGTGATGAGGGCGGCTACCCGCGGGCTGAGGTGACTCAAGGTCAGTTTCATTCAAGGACGCGCGCCTGGGCGCCGGGTTCGGTCGGGGTGCGTGCGGGAGGCAGCCATTCGATGTCTAGCCTCTCTCACATCGACGTCTCCCTTTCCCTCTTCATCCCCCCCTCCTCTCTGAAAAGCAATGGAAAGTGTGGGTACTTACCCGGTAGTTAGAGATTTACTCCCCTAAGTATTCTTTACAAATAGAACTTTGCTGCTTATCAAGTGCAGTGTTTCCTTATAACAGAAACATGCATTTTGAAGTCTGTTGACATAACTGAGTCGACTGGGTGATTAACATGCCAGTTGGCCAGCCAGTGTGTAGGTGCCCGGCGGCTGCCAGCCATCGTGCTGATGCGTGCCCGGAATACAGATGCATAGTCCGTCCGCTCCGCTCTTCCTCACCGCCCGGGGCCTTTAGAACCAGAGCCTGCAGTCGCAGCCTTTGTCGTGAGAAGCTGCCGTCACAGGGTGTAAAGAAGCAGCACAGCTTGTGGTTTTAACAGGGGCGGAAGCAGGCCTCGCTGCCCCGCCCACCGCGGCCAGCTATCACTGCTGTCCGTTCTCATGGCTGCTCCCACTCCCCCACCCCCAGGACTCTGGAGCAGTCTCTGCTGTCATAACACTGCTCCGGAGTGGTCCTCTGTCATTGGTGACAGTGAGAAGCAGGGAACTGTTCTGAGAGGAGAGCTGCAGGGAAAGGCAGAAGTTCCCTTGGATGCTTCTAGGCAGATCTGCCTTTTTCGGTGGGTGAGAGCCCGCAACAGCCTGTCTCGTTTACACATTTTGTTTGGTGGAATAGTGTACTCACGGCGAAGATTTTTACACTCGTTCTTGCCGGCGAGAAAAGCAATACAAATGTCAGCTGAGCTGCATCTCTCCAGCTGGCCACTGGCTTTACTTTTCCAGAGTGGCTTGAGATTACAGTCATGTCGCACAGGAGGAGGCTGGAGGATAACAAGGGAGGATATATGTTCCAGGGCTGTCACCGTCTCTAGTTATTCTGTTTGCTTGATTTTTAGAGAGAAGGGAGAGGGATGGAGAGATAGACACATTGGTGAGAGAACTATCCATTGGCTGCCTCCTGCACACCCCCTCCTGGGCATCCAGCCCACAGTCTGGGCATGTGCCCTGACTGGGAATCAAACCAGCAACCTCATGGTTCATAGGTCAACACTCAACCACTGAGCCACACCAGCCAGGCAGGTCTCCAGTTTTTAAGTTCTGACCCATAAATCTGACAAATAAGATGTCCCAAGTAATCTGAAATATTCCACACTGTGAAAATATTCCATATGGAAAATATTCCATAGTGAAATGCTTAATAAATTATAGTGCGTCTGCCATTAAGACAATAAAACTTATGTGAATTTTAGCTTACGCACTGTTTTGGGGTGTACGTGTAGCCGTTCACTTTCCATGGGTGATGTGTAAATTGAGGTCGTGTACCTCTATCCCGCTCCTCCTCAGAATGGTGATTGACAAGGTTGGTAACTCATTCCTGGGGCGAGGGAAGCCCCTCTTCAGGGAAAAGGCAGGCCTCCTGCCTCCTCAGGGGGGCGGGAAGCAGCCATCCCACTCCGCAGTGACTCCGGGTGGAAGGGCTGTGGGAGTTCTCGGAGTGCGGCTTCCGGAGGAGACATCAGGTCTGACAGCGGGTTGTCCTGTCCTGTATCAGCGCCGGTCTGATGTGACTGCTCTGTTTCATCTCAGTGTGCTCACGGCTAGGGTTCGGGTGAATTCAGTTCACGGGCCTGAGTGTCTCCGTCTCTCCGGCTAGCTGATTGAGTGTCAGCCTGTGAACCAGGAGGTCACAGCTCCATTCTCGGTCAGAGCACAGGCCCGGGTTGCGGGCTTGATCTCCAGTAGAGGGTGTGCCGGAGGCAGCCAATGAATGATTCTCTCTCATCATGGATGTTCCTCTCTCTGCCCCCCTCCCTTCCACTCTGAAATCAATGAAAACATTTATTTGAAAAAATGCTTTCCTGCGCTGAGAGCTGCTCTTGGTTCCCTAGCCCACTAACGAGGAGCTGAGAGAGGCCACGGCGCTGCTGACGGCGCAGCAGACGGCGCTGGAGATCATCGTCAACGTGTGCTGCAGCGAAGGTTCGTCCCCGCCTCGCTCCCCTGGCCCCACAGCTCCGCCGGCCATGCTCCGACCCAGCCCTGCTCTCCCTCCACAGATCCCTCCGACGACGAGTGGGAGGAAGAGCTTTCCAGCAGCGACGAGAGCGAGGCGTTCATGGAGAGTTCCCTCGGCGATGGTGGGGGGCAGCTCCTGTCTCCCCTCTGCCTCTCCCACGAGACACACGCCGCCCTCACCAACGTCCACATCCCCAGGAAGGTACTAGCTCCCAGTCCGGGCTCACCGTGCAGCGGAGGAGGCCTGGGGGCTGCGCCATGTGCAGGGGCAGTGAGCTCACCCTGGTTAGCCGGGGCCGGCAGAATGCAGCCTGGAAAGGGCTGAGGCAGCCCCAGCTGAGGGCCGTCTCCCTTAGCTGCCTGCCGCGCTGGCTCTGTAGGGGGCGCTGTGGGAAGAGTCTTCTCTTTAACATCTGCCCTCCACCTTTCTAAGTCCAGGTGTTTGAGAAAACTGCCTTTCCCAGCAGCGCTGCGGTGGACGTGTGTTCCAGGAGCCCCACGTGGAAGCCTCTGGTTAGAAAGTAAGACCTTGTCCGTTTTCAAAATCATTTGTCGCCGCTGTGCTGCGAAAGGTGGACCACTCGGTGGGAGGTGCCCCCGGTTCCTGAGTGTGTGCCCTGGAGAGGCGTGTGCTCGGGGCACAGAGACCAGAGCGTGTGCACAGCAGGGTCCATCAGCGGCAGGACGGGCCCGTGCATTTGGCATTGTCACGCAGTGGAATGCAGGCAGCAGTATTGGGATCCAAGCTAGATCTTGTCCCTAGCATCCTGCCAGAAAGGGAGGCATCAATGGTGAGAGAGAACTCCTGACTGGCTGCCTCCTGCACGTCCCCTATGGGGGATTGAGCTGCTACCTGGGCCTGAACCCTGACCAGGAATCAAACCATGAACTCCTGGTTCATAGATCAACCACTTAGCCGGGCTGATTCCGTTATTACCAAGTTCAAAAGCAGGTGACGCCAGGCTGTTTTGTTGGGATGCATCCATAGGTGGTAAACCTGTGAGGAAAGGAACTGTTTCCTGTCAAAGTCAGGCGTGGTGACTGGCCTTCAGGGTCGGAGAGGGGGCGTGGCAGGGCAGGGCAGTCACGGGTTGTGAGGGCGCTTGTCTCACCGGCTGCACAGTCTTGGCTGTAAACACAGGATGTGATTGACATGCTGCCCGTAGGGAGGTCCCAGCCACAGGTGGACAGAAAGACGCTGCGGGTGCAGTTTCCTAAAGCCAGTGCCTATGCCCTGGAAGGGGGCTGCCCTCAGGGCCTGGAGGCTCGGCAGTGTGAGGGGGGTCTGCGGCTGCCAGCCCTGCCCAGATGCCTGAGTCCGCACCAGAGCGCGGGGAGCCCTGGGCCGGGCTCCCGGGGGCCAGGTAGAGAAGCAGATGGCCTCCTCCCGCTTACCCCTTCCTGCAGGATGAACACGGTGCAGTGGCGAGCCCTTGTGTGTCTGCAGAGCCTCGTGTCCCTGCTGGAGGTGGAGCACCTGGGTGGGGCACCGGCCCTGCAGGCCCTGGCGCAGCACCTGTCCACCCTGCTCTTCTCCCAGCCAGGTAAGTCGCCAGGCTTCGAGGGCCGGGCCGGGGAGCACACCCCTCACGGTTGTTTCAGAGTCAAGTGTGCGGTCGCGCGGGCTTTCCCAGGAGCTCGGCTTCCATGTCGCAGCGTGGTCCTGGCGAAGGCCTGTCCTTCCCACGCTCGGTCTGGATCGCCCCTCTGCTCAGGGCCGGGGCCTTGGAGAAGCCCTCACACCCCCTCTGTTTCAGACCTCACTGAGCATGCGGACTTCCTGGAGGCCATCAGCGGCGCCCTGAGGGCCCTCCTGCAGACCATGGCCGCCAAGAACATCGCTCAGGTGGGATGTGTGGTTCTTCGCCGGGAGCTGCTGTTCTCGGGACAGGCAGCCTGGGGGATGCTCGGCCAGGCCGCACGTGCTATGGCGTTGGTGAGCTTTGCCTTCATTGTTTGTCTCTCTGACAGTGCATGACGCCTGACCAGCTGATGACGCTGTGCAGAGCCGGCATCCAGAGCGGCAGCGTCGGCGTGAGAGTGAACGTGGTCAGCATTTTGGGGATCACGGGCAGCGTCCTGGCCAAAGAAGATGGTGCACTTGAGACGCTCAAGGTAACACATGGCTTTCGACCTGAAATGCTGTGATTTGAAGTGGGGGTGGGGCTTCAGAAACGTCGGTGGGCGTCATGAGACGAGCTCATATTGGGCAGCTGCTCCCTGGAGGGCATCCCATCAGTAAAGCGCACGCTGCTGAGTCGGGGGTGAGTGGAAACGTTGCCTGGGGGTTAGCAAGGACGCACGTTCAGATGGAAACGGAGGCCCGGGCAGTGAGCAGACTGTCCCACGGTCACAGTGGAGCCAGTTTGGAGCTGTTGGCATGTCCTCTCCCGCCTGGTTACTAGATGCACAGGGAGGCTTCAGTCCGCACGCTGTGCGCTCTGGCGTCTGCCGCGCAGGGGAGGGCTGCCGTCGGCGGGCAGCGGCGAGGTGGGTGTCTGAGGCCAGCACAGCGGAGCCACCTGAGACTGTTGTGTTCAGTTTCTTTTTTTGCTGTGAGTACTTTAAAAAGCAGGGTTTTTGTTATTAAAAAAACATTTCTGTGCATTTTTACACCAGAGGGAAAGCCTTTTGAGGGAGCCAGGAAAACTTAGTAATTTTCAAAATCAATCTTTCATATATCACTTATGGACCTTAATTCACCTTATTTAGGAATATAAACTAATACATTTCGTTTATCTTGCTCATTTTACACGTATATTTATAAATGTGCGTTCCCGGCATTTGATGTGAAACGTGCATCAATCGCTGCCCCCTGAAGCGGTGCTCAGGAATGGCCCTGAGCGCCGACGACAGGGCGTTCTGTTGGCTGCAGGCCATCGGGTGCTTCCTGCTGGAGGTGGCCACCAAGGACCCCTCGCTGGTGGTGGTGGGGGAGGCCCTGGACGCCCTCTTCGATGTGTTCGCCGACGGCAGCGAAGCTGAGAGGGCCTCGGTGCAGATCCGTTTGTTGTCTGCCCTGAAGGAGTTCCAGCCAGTCTTCAAGATGAAGGTAAGAGGCCGACGGGGTCAGGATGCCTCCACCTCAGCGTCCCGGGGAAGGGGTGGCGTGGTCCCTGCCAGCCTTAGCCTGGAGCACCGGGGCCCAGGCTGAGTGCTGCGGGCTACATCCCCACCCAGGCACCCCGAACTTAGTCAGTGGCCAGTGTCAAACCGTACCAGATTACAGCTCTACACATTCATTAGCAACACACTCAAGGGACAGACTCAGTGAGCACCAAAGCCCCACTGAAGCAAGGCCTGCTCCACAGGGGTGTCTCCTGCACAGCAGCTCTCCCACGGTAGTCACAGCTGGTCCTCACAGCCAAGTGGCCTAGAGGTCAATTCCTCCCAGTGACACCAATAGCAGTCAATGCTCAACACAGTAAGACAGTGCTCACAGCCAACAAAGGGTGCACCTATGGCTCCAGCTCAGGTGAGAGGGGGGCTGAGCCACTAGCACACAAGGCCACTCCACCAGGACACAGCAGCTCTACCCAATGTACAGGGCAGCAGCCAAAATGTGGGCACAAATGAAAGAAATGGGAGGAAGCAAACTACTCTACATAGAGTTCAAAACCATAGTTACAAGTTATTCAGGAATCTTCTAGAAATCTCCAAACAAAATGGGAAAGGACAGGTCAGAAATTAAGCATACACTGACTGAAATAAAGAATAATGTACAGGGATTCAAAAGTAGAGTAGAGGATTCTGAATGTCAGATCAATGATTTGAAATATGAGGAAGCAAAAAACATCCAACCAGAAGAGCAAAAGAAAAAATAATCCAAAAATATGAAGATAGTGTAAGGAGCCTTTGGGACAACTTCAAGTTATGGGGGTGCCAGAAGAAGAGAGAGAGCAAGATACTAAAAACCTATTTAAAGAAATAATGACTGAAAACTTCCCCCACCTGGTGAAAGACTTACAAGTCCAGGAAACACAGAGAATCCCAAACAAAAGGAATCCAAAGAGGACCACACCGACACATCATAATTAAAATGCCAAGAGCAAAAGACAAAGAGAATATTGCCGAAACTGGTTTGGCTCAATGGATAGAGCGTCGGCTTGGAGACTGGAGGACCCGGGTTCGATTCCGGTCAAGGGCATGTACCTTGGTTGTGGGCATATCCCCAGTGGGGCGTGTAAGAGGCAGCTGGTCGATGACTCTCTCATCGATGTTTCTAACTCTCTATCTCTCTCCCTTCCTCTCTGTACAAAATCAAATAAAATATATTTAAAAAAGACAAAGAGAATATTAAAAGCAGCAAGAGAAAAGCAGTTAGTTACCTACAAAGGAATGCCCATACGACTGTCAGTTGATTTCTCAGCAGAAACTATGCAGGCCAGAGAGGAATGGCAAATATTCAAAGTGAAAAAGAGATTTTAAAGCTAACACCTTAATTTTAATGGAGAAAGGGGAGGACATGCCCTTCCTACCCAGAACAGGTAATCCAATTCCAGCTAGCAGCTATCTTTAAACAATGTGTTCATTTACATTTGAATGGCTACGCCTTTTGATAGCTCAAGGGCAAGTTTACATGTAAACAAGTTTGCTTCTCAGTTCCTAGGGCAAAACAAGGTTTAAAATTATTAGATTTTAAATACTATTCTTAAAAATATAAAAGTTTAATAATTAAAACAAAACAAAAACAAGGGCCGAGACCGGTTTGGCTCAGTGGATAGAGCATTGGCCTGCGGACTGAAAGGTCCTGGGTTCGATTCCAGGCAAGGGCATGTACCTTGGTTGCGGGGTGTGCAAGAGGCAGCTGATCGATGATTCTCTCTTAACAAGGAAATTAAAAAACCTAATGAACAATATTAACTGTTGATTATAATAGACTCAGAGATACAGGAGGGGAGTGGACTGACAATTCTCGGGGGAAAAGGGGAGTGGTGGGTGCGGGAAGAGATTGAACATAAACTGCACCTATGGATGAGGACAATGGAGGGTAGGGAAAGAGCAGAGGGTGGGGTGGGAACCTGGTGGAGGGGGGAAAAAATGAGGAACTTTTGTAATAATGTGAGCAATAAAGATTGATTTAAAAAAAAATATTCACAGTGATGAATAGCAAGGACTTACAACCAAAATTACCCAGCAAAGATATCATTTAGAATTGAAGGTCAGATAAAGAGCTTCACAGACAAGAAAAAGTTAAAATCCATCATCACCAAACCAGTATTATATGAAATGCTGAAAGGTATTTTTAAAAAGAGGAAGAAGAAAAAGATAAAAAAAGATAGGCAACAAATACATATCTATTAACAACTATATCTAAAAATCAAAATAACTGAATAAGAAATCTAATGATCAGAATAAACTGGTGAATAAAATAGAATCAGAGGCATGAAAATGGAAGACTGACAATCCTCAGAGGGAAGGGGGTGAGGAGTGGGAAGAGATTATACAAAGATCTTCTATGCATATATGCATGACCTATGGACACAGACAATAGGATTGAAGGCCTGGGTCAGGGTGAGAATGGGTGGGTGGAGGGGCCAATGGGGAGGGAAGAAAAGAGACATCTGTAATCTCAACAATAAAAAATAAACTAAAAAGGTGAAAACTTTTCACCCAGGGGAGGGAGGGGATATGTGGGAGGGAAGAAGGGGGGCAAAAAAAAAAATCAATAAAATATGTAAAAATAAATAAAATAAAAGAAAAAAAAGAAAACGTTTCACCCAATTCCAGCAGCTATCTGATCCTGAAAATACACGCAAAACGAAACGCTTTCTGTATGTACAGGAATTAGTAATTTACACCAACTCATTTGTGGTTTTCTTTTGGCAGATCCGAAAAGAAGGGAAAGGCAGGTACAGCCCAGACCAGCTGTGCGTCCTCGACAACGTGAAGACGAACTTGAGGAGGTTTGTCGCTTACCAGGAGGCTGTTGAGAAGAGACTGACTGCTTGACCCGTTGAAAGGGAGCAGTTCTTGTCCCCAAGTGTCCAGGTCTCCCTGGCGGGGCCCATTTCCAAAGGTCAGTGTCTGTGTTCTGTGTGTGAACATGAAGTTCTCAGGACTTCGGAGCCTGTCAGGAGCGCGTCCTTCCTGGAGCTCTGGGATCGCGTTTCTCGCGCTCTCCGCCTCAGGCACGGACACGGGAGGCGGGGAGCACGGAGGACGCAGGTGGTGCTCGGTGAGCAGTGTAGAAACAACTCAATTTTGAAAAAATACAGGAAAACAAGCATTGCTTGGATGCTCTTTTAAGTCTATCATTTTATATTGGCTGCATTTTTAACTTAAAGACAAGCTTTATAAAAGATTTTTGGTATGAAGAATATCAATTATGTCTACCTTTTGTTAAGTGAATGAATTGAATTTGTATTCCACTATTTTGTAGAATGTACAAAAGAGCTATCGAGGTCATTATCACCGTCTGTATAAACAGATCAGCTTTGTATATTGCTTTGTAACCTCTTTAATTTGATATGTCATCAGAATTGGAGGAAAATATTTTTAAATAAGTAAATTTTTAATAAAAAGCTTTGTGTCTTACAAAATCTTTTTTAAAATACAAGGTAGTCCTGTTTCTGGGCATTTGCTTGCTAATGGACATTGTTGTGAATACATGTGAGGTATTAGAACCGAGGCTGAAGCAGGAACCTTCAGCATGACTCTCGATATCCTTAAAACATCGCCAACTACAAAACGTTGAGAGAAAGTAAACCTGAATGAGGGGAGAAATCTACCATGTTCATGGATTGGAAGATGGTATTTCTTCCCAAATCCATCTACAGGTTGGAGGCAATCCCGATCAAAATCCTAGCAGGGTTTTCTGTAGAGACTGACAAGCTGGCTGTAAAACTAGGTGGAGGGGAGAGGACTTGAAGTTTCCAATACAACGTTTAAAAGGAAGAAGAACGTGACCTCCTGGTTCCTAGGTCAGCACTTAACCACTGAGCCATGCCTGGGCGTGAAGGGCTCCCTCTTTCTGCTCTCACCCCAAGGCCTGCTTCCTGCTTCCTTGGGACCAGCCACTGAAGATGTCAAGGTCCAACATGTTCTTTTACTCTTGTACCTTCTGAGTTAAAAGTACACCTTCATTTTACTATTTAACCAAAAGGAAATGTGATGTCACGTAAACGATTCTCAAGTTTTTCCCTATTAGAGAAATTTATGTCTTCATCTGAAACTATTTGGGTCCACTTAATTGAACAATTCCTCATTTTAATGAACGGAATTAGCTTGAGTCGTTTTTTTTTCTGTGCCGAGAGAGAAATTACAAGCAAGTGGTTTCCAGGAGAACACAGCTGCCCTACAATGGTAATGTTTTCAGCAATGTGTGCCTGGCCGTGAGAAGGACAAACCCTTCCGGAGTGAAGGAACTGCTGACTTCACATTTGGTCTGAGTGAAACCAGGAAAACACCTTCCTGCTGTCATTTGTAGGAAACCGTTTCCTGGGTTTGTGTAACATAAAGACACTTAAGCTTATTCAAGTACAACAGGAAGAAATGAAGTCTGTCTTTTCTAGTGAAGACTGGCATTAGCGTGCGCTGGAGTGATTTCACCAATGTAGCTTCAGTCCTTACCTGCCTTTTCTTCTCTTTTCTATCACAGATTAGTGTACAGAGCCAGGAAATGCTTAAAATCACCAGTCTTGCCCTCGCTGGTTTGGCTCAGTGGATAGAGCATTGGCCTGCAGACTGAAGGGTCCCGGGTTCGATTTCGGTCAGGGACATGTGCCCAGGTTGCAGGATCGCCAGTGATTCTCTCATTATTTTTTTTTAAAAATATATTTTATTGATTTTTGTACAGAGAGGAAGGGAGAGAGATAGTTAGAAACATCAATGAGGATTCTCTCATTATTGATGTCTGTCTGTCTGTCTCTCTCTCCCTTTCTCTTCCTCTTTGAAGTCAATAAAATTATATATTTAAAAAAATAAAATCACCACAGTCTTGAAAACATTGCACATGCTCATGAACAAACTCCATCATTAAAATTTACAGGAATTCGTGCAGTTCATTGTTTGATAAAATAACATGATCACCTACCAAAAAAAAAAACCCACAAATGAAAACCAAATGAAATAAGGAGGTGTTCGCCTTTGGTCTTCACTCTCACGGCATTACTTGGTGATAGAAGTTCTGCAAAATCCAGAAGACAGCATTTCCCATCGTTCTCGTGGCTAAAGTTACATTTCCTTTCTGGTGGAGGTCATCCTCACCTGAGGATATCTTTCTATTGATTTTTCTTTTTTAGAGAAAGTGGAAGGGAGGGGGAGAGACAGGATCATTGACCTGTGAGAGACACTGATTGGTTGCGCCCCAACTAAGGTCAGGGATTGAGCCTGCAACCAAGGTACATGCCCTTGACCCAGGCCAGGACCCTTCCGTCAGTCTGCTTTCCGTCTCTGAATTTGCTCTGGGCATCACATGTAGGTGGAATCTTAATATACTGTTGACTTGTGATGGGCTTATTTCACTTAACATCATGTCTTCAAGGTTCATCCATGTGGTAGAATGTATGGGTTTCCTTTTTAGGGCCGGATAGTATTCCATTCAAGGCTGAATGCTACTCCATCCACATTCCGGGTATCCATTCATCTGTTGATGGGCACTGGGGTTGCTTCCACCTAGCTATGGGCTATTGTGAATAATGCTATGAACAGGGCGTATAGTTAGGGCTAGGGTTATAGTTATGGTTATGGTTAGGGATAGGGCTAGAGTTAGGTCTAGGGTTAGGGTTAGGGCTAGGGTTAGGGACAGGACTAGGGTTAGGGCTAGGGCACAAGGTTAAGGCTAGACTAGGGTTAGGATTATGGTCAGAGGTCAGCTCCCAAAGGTGCCTGCTCCCCTGGGTGACCCGGAGGCCAGAGTCTGCTCTGAGGTCACATCCTCAGGGCAATGGCACCTATCCCTTCACCACCTTCTGCTGGTTAGAGGCAGATCCTAGGTTACACCCTCAGAGAAGGGGAGTGGATTATACAGAAAGGGGAACCCCAGAAACTGGGGACCATGGAGCAATTATCTCGGAGTCCGTCTGCCTCCCACCAGGCCCCTGCCGTCTCGGAGCTTCATTACAGGGGGGCAGAGGGACCATGGGGCACAGACAGAGAAACACGGGGTACTGCATGGGAGAGCCAAAGCCAACCTATCAGGATGCCCAAAGGGGCCCGGCCGGCGTGGCTCCATGGTTGAGCATCGACCTATGAACCAAAGGTCATATTTCCACTTTTTCAGGGCACAGGCCCGGGTTGTGGGCTCAATCTCCAGTTGGGGGTGTGCAGGAGGCAGCCGATGGAGGATTCTCTCTCATCACGGATGTTTCTCTCTCTTTCTCAAATAGGCAAATAAATAAACGAAATATGTTTTATTAAATATTAAAAAGAAAAAGCTAGCAAAACTTGGACAGTTGTGTTTTCCCCCGTCATTAGGCGCGGCGGGCAACTCTCTGGGGGGGGCTTTACAGCCACCAAGGTCAATGTTGACGGAACTGCCACTCGAGTCAGAGGTTACCCAGAGAAGGCAAGTCTCCAGAGGCAGAAAGAAGGGTAGTAGTTGCCCAGGGCGGGATTGGGAAAAGGGATTGGCTGCCAATGAGCCCTAGAGATTTTGGGGGGGGGGGGGGGGGAGGGCATTGATAGAAAATATTCCAAAATTGGATGATGATGATGATGGTGGTGGCACAACTTTAACTTTACTAAAAAAAATCTCACACTGAAAACGAACACATTTTATAGAGTATGCCTTTTACTATAAAGTTGTTACACACCCACGCACTCACGCACGCACGCACTCACTCACTCCAGAGATCCCAGAACGGCACACCATTGAGCAATGTGTTTCTAAAAACAGCGCTGGGAGAAATTGGGACTGTCCTTCCCGCTGCCTGTCATTTTGACGTCTCATTGAGAAAGATCTCCCTCCTCAGAGTCTACTTTGCTTTCCCTTCACGAAGGAGGAGAGAAAACCCACGATATAATGTGTGTATTGTGTGCAAAAGAGGGAAAGTTGTAGATGGGGCCTAGGCCCTAGGTTACTAATGCCTGGAAGGACTGCTTCATAAGCTGAGCCCCGAAGGTACTAACAGCCCTACTGTGTGACTGTCAGCCCCCAGCTGGTTCGCTCTGGAAGGCGGGAATGCAATCATACACCGCCCGTCCCTTCATTCCAAGGCCAATTCCAAGGCCAGTTACTAATCACACCCGTAGCAGTGCGTGTGCTGTGCCCCTTCTGTTTCTTGCAAGTTAATACGCCAATAAAAATCCTATTTCAATCTGCCGGATTCTTTGGTAATTCGCTTTCTCATTTCTCAGCTCTGTTTCTGACCTGCAGAACCTTGGTGTGGCCGTAAATCTTTCAAGTTGAGACCAACAGCCGAAACCGGTGTGGCTCAGTGGATAGAGAGTCAGCCTGCGGACTGAGAGGTCCCGGGTTCGATTCCGGTCAAGGGCATGTACCTTGGTTGAGGGCACATCCCCAATAGGAGGTGTGCAAGAGGCAGCTGATCGATGATTCTCTTGAATCGATGTTTCTAACTCTGTCCCTCTCTCTTCCTCTCGGTAAAAAATAATAATAAATATATTAAAAAAAAAAAACAAAAAAAAAACAATCAAGTTGAGACCAACAGCTCAGCGTGTGCTTCCCTAAGACCAAGAATCCTGAGAATGGACAGGACATCCTAGATAATAAAAGGCTACTATGCAAATGGACCCAACGGCAGAACGACCGGTTGCTATGACCCACACTGACCACCAGGGGGCAGACACTCAATGGAGGAGCTAGACCAGAAGCAGGGCTCATGGCTGGGAAGCGCAGCGGCAGTGCTGGGAGCCTTTCCTGCCTCTGCGGCTGCCCTAAGGATGACAAGCAGGGAATGGGCCTAAGCCGTCAGTCAGACATCCCTCCTGGGGGACTCCCCAGACTGCAAGAGGACGCACATGCCAGGCTGAGGCCCGCCCCCGCCCCCCGAGTATATGAAAATGTCTGGGTGTATGATAGCTGTCTTGTGTTGTTGTTGTTCATCAATACAATGCAGAGAGTTTCGAAGAACATGTCTATCTTGTTCTAAAAAGCAAAAGGAAGCTAAAGCCGGTTCGGCTCAGTGGTAGAGCGTCGGTCTGCGGACTGAAAGGTCCCAGGTTCGATTCCAGTCAAGGGAATGTACATTGGTTGCGGGCACATCCCCAGTAGGGGGTGTGCAAGAGGCAGCTGGTCGATGTTTCTCTCTCATCAACGTTTCTAGCTCTCTATCCCTCTTCCTTCCTCTCTGAAAAATCAATAAAATATATTTAAAAAAAAAAAAAAAAGGAAAAGGTTGAGTCACCAAAATTTATGAGTGAAGTGAGTCTGTCTCTTCGGACGCAGCAGGTTACAGCGGATTTGTCAGGGAAAGGGGCACATCTTTGTGTTTGTAAAATTCCCTACTGTTTTACGTGAGACATGACGGTTTTGGAGAAAATGTCCTCCAGAGAGACTTCTGGTTCTAAATCACGGCACCACAGTCACCACTCAATGACACGGCCGTAGCGCCTGGTCCACAAAGGCTGTTCCTGCCACAGGGCCTTTGCACCGGCTAGTTCCTGGGCCCAACGGGTGATTCCCTAGATGGACACGGCCCACGGCCTCACTGAAGTCCCTGCTCAAACGTCCCTTCCTCAGAGCAGCCCTCCCTGACCAGTCCATCTAAAAATAGCACAGAGCCGAAACCGGTTTGGCTCAGTGGTAGAGCGTTGGTCTGAAGACTGAAGGGTCCCGGGTTTGATTCCTGTCAGGGGCATGTACATTGGTTGTGGGCACATCCCCAGTGGGGGGTGTGCAGGAGGCAGCTGGTCGATGTTTCTCTCTCATCGGCGTTTCTAGCTCACTATCTCTCTCCCTTCCTCTCTGTAAAAAATCAATAAAATATATTAAAAAAAATAAAAAAAAAAAAAATAGCACAGACACTGTCCCTTTAGCCTACTTTCCTTTTCCTTGTAGCACGTAACCACCGTCTGACCTTACGTGCCTGCCTCACCGCTGGACTGGAAGGCCCATGAAGGTGGGGACTCCGTCAGTGTAGGTCATCGCTGTATCACACCATATGCTGGTACGAAATATCTGCAGGAGACGTAATTGTTGAATTAACCCAATAAATTGCCACGTGACTTTAAATATTTACCCATTTGCCTCCCTAACCAAACAAATTCATGGCAGGCAGCCAAAGGCTTACTTATCTTCTCTGGAGCGATTAGCTCCATTGTGTATGGATGCTAGACATTCAACCCAGATGTACTGAGGGAAGGCGCTGAAACAGGGGTTTGTGATCCAGCTAACGGTACCAGTGGTCGGCAAACTGCCGTTCTGTTGACTAGTGAGTTTGCCGACCACTGGGCTAACCAGTCAGCATTCCCTGAAGGCGAACAAGGACAAGGCTATGCCAAGTATTTTACATCAATTAGCTCCTTTGATTGTCTTGCTGATACCTTAGTAGTTATAAGGTTTGCCTTTAGAAATGAACAAGCCATACAACACATGCTTCGTGTCTGGCTTGTGCTGCCACACAGATACTTTTTTTGGGGGCGGGTCTTAGATTGCAATGACATTTAATGCGCTCTTGGACATTTGGAAGAATATTGTAAAAGATGGAATCACGTTTCAAATCAGGTAAGTGAAGACTTGAAGGAGCCTGCAGGATTTTGGTCCAGAAACCTCTCTGGAAGGCGGTGTCACCGTCTTCACAGCGGTGATTTCTAGATGGTAGGACTATGATCATGTTTACTTTGGCTATTTTTCCCCTTTTGAGATTTTCAAGACAAACTTGAAATCCTCCAAAGAAACCGCTCTCTGTGCAACGCTTTATTTTTGTTTCATGTGATGAGCGTAAAAGCCCGGCTCCCCATTTTCCAGGCTGACTCTCAGCACACACACGAAGGACCAGCATTCCATAGGGCTTGTTTTAAGTTTTCCGTATTTACAGCCGTATTATTCTCTCAGCAAGAAAAAAAGAGGGAGCAAACACTTCCTTATTTGATAGCTTTTCATCATTTGCCAAAAAAAACAAAAACAAAAATAAGCTTTCCAGGATATTCACCTCCCCAACAGAAGGCCCAAATCTGGGGCTGGAAGTGCGGCCTTGGGGCCCCCGTAGAGGCACAGGGGAGATGTGCTCATTCTTATTTCCCTCCTGATGACTTGGATCACTTCACATGCCCTTCTCCGCGTCTTACCCACAGGGATGGGGAAGACAGGCAACTAGCCACCGCGTGGGAAATCTGCCGCTGACAGGGTCTGGTCCCCACGTGAGCCTGAGAGGCCCGGGGTCCAGGAGGGCGGTGCACCCCGGGGCGGGCGCGGGTCCGTGTCCGCCCGCCCGGTGCATCCGCGCGCTGGCGTGTGCGTGGCGGCGCGGCGTGGGCTTGGGGTCAAGACCAACACACGCAACGATCGCGCGCGTGCGGCCGCGCAGGCGGCGGGGCGCCCTCCGCCGAGGCCGGGGCGCGGGGCGGCGCGAGCACCTGCACCTGCGCAGCCGCGTCCGGCCGGGACCGGCGCACGTGCGCGGGCCGGGCCACTTCCTCCCGGGCCGGCAGGTGCGCCGGCAGCGGAGCCCTCGGGCGGGGTCGGCCCCAAGGACATCCGGGAGGCGGGCGGGCGGGCGGGGGCGGGCCCGGAGGCGGGGCGGCGCCTCCCAGCGCCCCTTCCCCGCGGAGCGGACGCCGATTTCCGTGCGGCCTCCCCAGGCTCCGGGGCGCGGAGACCGGGGCCGGCGGCGGCGTGCGCGCGCGAGGGGCACCCGGACGCCCAGGTACGTGCGGGCTCGGTGCCCAGCCGGCGCCGGGGCGGTTGGGCCGGGCGGTTGCGGGCACCGCGCCGCGGCCTCTGTGACGCACGGCGCGGCCTCCGCGCTGACGGCCGGCGCGGCGCGGGGGCGGGGCCTGCGCGGGGGCGGGGCGGCGCGGGAGGGCCGGGGCCGGCCGAAGCCCCGCCCTCGGGCCGGATTCAGCGCGGACGCTACGGAGCAGGCGCACCCCGCCGCCCCTGCCGCCGCCACTGCTACCGCCGACGCCGCCGCTCGTCCTTCTCCGGAGCCGCCGCCGCGGCCGCCATTTGCACGGGGACCTCGGTGACAGGCTCAGCGGAGGGGCGGAGGGAGGGGGGAGGGCGCGCGGAGCCCCCGAGGGCGGCAGCGGCGCCGCCGGCAGCGCGGGCAGCAGCGGCAGCAGCGGCAGCAGCGGCGGAGGCCGGGCGTGCGCCTGGGGCGCGGCGGCGGCGGGCGGCCGTGCGGGCGGCCGGGAGGGCGGGGGCCGGGGCCGCCGCCGTTTGATGGATCCGAGGATCGCCTGGTTCCAGCCAGAGCAGCTCGGAC